CCCGCCCCTCCGCCCCCCCCAGCCGGTACCTGCCAGGAGGCGGATGTCGGCGCGCGCCGTGTCGCGGCGGAGCGCGCGCACCACCAGCGCCACGGTGCTGTCCTCGCGCAGGGCCTCGGCGCGCGGGCTGCGCTCGTCGTACACCACCACGGCGGCGTAGAGGCCGGCCCGCAGCCGCGCCCGCACCTCGCCCTCCGCCGGCAGGATCTGCTCCAGGCTCACCGCCCCCTTGGCCCGCCGCCGCACGATGGTGTTGCAGCGGACGTTGAGGGCCCCGCGGATGTGGCCGGCGCTGTGGGCCAGGAAAGGGCGGCAGTCCAGCACCAGGCACCGCGCGGGGCCGCCGGTCTCCTCGGGGCACACCAGGCGCCGCAGGGCGCTGCCCTCCATCTCCCGCAGCCCCTCGGTGGCCACCATGGCGAGCGGGGAGGCGACCGGAGCGGTGGTGGTGGTGCCGGTGCCGCTCGCGCACACACACACACGCGCACACACCCCCCCTTCCCCGCGCGCGCGCGCGGCGCAGCCTTTACTACCCGCCGGCGGCCCGGCGCGCGCGGCCCCGCCCCTCCCCTCCCCGCCCATTCATCCCCGCGCCGCCCATTCATCCCCGCGCTCGGGCCCGCCGCATGAATGGGCGGAAGGCGGGCGCCGGCGACGTCACCGCCTCCATTCACAAAAAAAAAAAAATTAAAAAAAATAAAAAATAAAGGAAAGGGAAGCAAAGGAAGAAGCGAGGCGGGCGCGCTGCCAGCCGGCCATCTTCTCCGCGGGGGGGTGTGGGGGGGGAGGGTTTTTTTTGTGAATGGGGGAGAGAGACGGGCGGCGCCGCGCCTGTGGCACGGTGACACCGGCCCCTGCCCCGTGGCACACACACACTCACGCATACACACACCCACCCCGGGACCCCCTGCGGGGCACAGAGCGCTGCAGGGCACCCCCGCGCGCACATATGGACGCCTGCGTGTCCCACGCACCGCTGGGCACACACACGCTGCTGGGCACACACGTGTATACACGCACACGCTGCGCGCCCTCCCCTCTCCTCCTTTGTCCCCCAGCTCCCCTTCAGGCTGGACTGGCTGCCGCGGCAGGGGGCATTCAGAGGCTCTGCGGGGTCCCTCCGGTCACCTCTCTGCCGCCGCCACGTTTTCCCTGTCGGAAAACGACAGCTCATTCGCTGCGGCCCCTTAGAAACACCACAGCACCCTGCCGGGGGAGCAGCCCCGTGGAAGGCTCCTCGGTTTGACTCCCCACGTGGAGAAGCGCTATTTTCGGCTAAAAGCCAAAGGAGCAAACTCGCAGCCCTGAAGTGACCCCAGAGGATCTCCCCCTAACCACCAAGCAGTCTTTTCACCTAGAACCCCCCTTTTGGGCCACAAATGCCAACGCCAGCAACTGTGCTCGGGGAGTTCAGAGACCTGAAGGGGCTCAGCTCCCCTGCTGTGGACCTGGACAGGGTGTAGGGTTAAGGACCCAATGGTTATCCAAGCCCATCTGCCCCAGTTGCTGCTTTCCACAGGGGGCAGCATTTGGACAGGCAGCTTGGCATCCCCTCCCCAGCGGGCTGGGTAGCTGTTTATCTGGGCAAGGCAGGGTAACACCTTGCTGCGTGTGCCTACCTGGGAGGAATCCAGCCTGCCGTGCACGTCCGAGGCCTACAGCTGGTGACACTCCTGCGTCCTGCTGCTGCCCCTCCCTTATGCTCTGCTCTCTCACTGCTCTTGGGTTCTCCCCTTCCATCTGCGTCAGCTTCATCTTTGCACCTCTGGCTTTTTGGTGTGCTCTGCCAACCTCTTGCCAGCCAAGCCGAATCTGATGAGCCATGGGGGAAACATAACTGCCATTTGTGTAGTACACCCCACTCCAGGAACGTATGTATACACTCCAGAATGTGTATTCTACAGGGGTAGAAGCCTAATATTCTCCTGTTCCTGCCTGCATCAGACACGAGGGAAGAAGAAACCTATTCCTGTTGAACTAACGCAGACTCTGACTGGCCAGCAACATGCCAGGGACGTGCTTTCCTCCTTTAGAGAACGCTGACGGAGACCAAAAAATTCAAACTGAGAAGCTGATTTCAAGCTAATTAAAAATTACGCTCTCGTAGCAACTTGACTTGAACTCAAGTTGGACCATCAAAATGTCTTCGGAAGTTTTACTCAAGAGCTGATGCCAAAATATGCTGGTTTCCTTTGCTTCTCTTGGGCAGGAGATGGTGGCCACTACCATGTGATGAGCTGGCCTGCTGTCTTCAGTGTCTTCTGTGCTACTCACTCCAGCTTTTGGACTAAAATTGATGACCAGGGGCACGGAGGATATGTCCTTGGAGGCAGTGCCTGGTATCCTGATTTTTCCCTTTCTGATCCAGTGTGTGACTGGGCCAAACAGGTCTGCAGTCGGAGAGGAAGGCAACGTCAGTATGAGTAGACGAGAGGAGGATTCGAGTTGCTGGCCATCGATGGAGGACGTTATTTCAGGATGGAGCATGGATGGGTGTGCATCTGATGGAGATCTCCAAGTGTTTCCATGTGTCTGAAACCTCTGCCCATTGTGCATCCCCTCCTGCTGTCTGTGTGGAGGTGGCAGGTTCTTGGCTCTTTCTTCCTGGAAAATAAACTGCACCCAGCCAGGCTGCTAGAAATGCCATTCTCAGAGCTGTGCTCCTGGCTGGTCACATCTGGAGCTGATGCTATGGTGAACACGGTGGAACAGAGAGCTGGCAGTGGGGAATTTGAACCCGGAGGTGAGAGTAGCCAAATCGGACCAAGTCAGGATCCACAACTGGAGGAAAACAGGGATCTTCCTCATGGCAGCTAGCTCAAAAGGAAATCTAGTTAGCTTTGTGGAGGTGTTTCAATGGGATAACCAAGAGCCACCAGAAATGCTTGGAAAGCAGAATCCACGAGGCAAAAGAAGCAGCACAATTACCTGGGATGGAAGGGAAGAGAGATGGAAAGGACTGGGGCACGGGGGAGGAATGGTGCTGGGAGAAGGCCATATAACTTCATGTCCTGACTTTGCAAACCTGGAGATGCGTGAATGCGAATATTCCTGTCAAACAGCATCCATATGGCACAAACTGAAATACATCCTGCTGGAAAACAAACAACCAAAAGGAAAGAGAGAGAGCAATAGACATTCATTTCCTTTGCAACAGAGTCTTTTATAGGGCCCTGGCCAGAAGAGGCAATTGTGGCAGGAGGCTGAAGGGAAATGAATTGTCAAAGGAGGCACACATTTGGATGATTAAATGTCAATATGTACCTTGAATTAAGGAAAAGGAATTTACACCTCATCTCACTGTGGCAACTAAAATTAAGTTAGAGCCAGGCTGTAAATTTGCCAGCCAATAGGTACCAATTTGTTTGGCTATCTAGATGCTTTTTCTGCCCAGAGAAATGCTGAAGCATGAGTCCCTCTGGGTGGCCAATGGCTGCTGTGGGCAGCTGGTAAGCTGCTGAGCTCAGCCAGCCCTCTGGGCTCCTTCGGGCTTTCCTGGCTCTGCTTCCTCCAGCTCCTGGCCCCAACCCCACACAAGTGGGGTTGGGGCCAGGAGCTGGGGGGAGCAGAGCCAGGAAAGCCCGGAGGAGCCTGCTGCATCATGCCACACGTCTCAGCTACCTGGCAGATGTGCCTGCCTCTGCCACCACCTGGGCTGGAACACAGGCCAGGATTTTCTTATGCCAGAGTTTCCCCAAGAGCTTGATTCCCTCCATCCTCCTGGTCAGCCTCAGCATGGCTGCAGATGGACAAAGCTCAGCGCTGTGTCCCCGCTACTCTCGGCGCGTGGCAGAGGTGTCAGGGTAAGGATGCTGACGCCTTCCCCCCAACAGCTCTCGGTGGTTAGCCCAAGGGTTGAGTGATTTGCCCTGGCGTGCACAGGAAGCCTTTGGCAGAAATGAAAGGCAGAATCAAAGTCTTAACAGCTTGCAAGGCTGTGCTTACCCACAAAATCCAGCCTTCCCGGTGTGCCGCGGGGTCACCGCTTCCATCTGTCCTCACGCAGCGCCTTACGGTGGTTCTTTCATGGTGTCTCTCTTTTTCTCACAGCTTTCCAGGCCGGAGAAAGCATCCCCCTTTTCTGCAAAGGGCAGTGCAGCAGCAAAAGAGTTAATAGATTCATGTTAATAAATTCAGGCTCTCTTTTCCTCTAGGGCATATTTGCATATTAATGGAAAGGAATTGTAACGAACCTGTCTAGGGAGGCTAAAGGGAAAATTATGCAAGGTTGGCTGAGAAGGTGGAGGAGGGGAAAATGTTCATTTCCAGGGCTTTCCAACCCCTCAGCTGCAAAAGCACATGAGCAACCTGAGCTCCTTTGTAGCACCTTGCAGAGTGAGGGACACTGGGAGTGAAGGGAGTGCCTGAGTGCAGATAGCTAATTGGACCCACCTGCATCCCTCCTGGCTTCTCATGGGCCTGCTAAGCTTCACATTGCCCCTGACATGCTTTCATTTTAAATCCAGGGCCACAACAGGAGATTTTAGCAAGTGTGTCCCAAATCATCACCCTGTCCTCCCAGGCATCTGGAAAAAATGCAGCTCTTGGTGCACTGTCAAGAGAGCAACTCATCCACAACTCATTTTCATCAGAGGATCTCTCAGGGCTTTTCAGCAGCACCGTGCTTGGTGCAGGGGGAGATGGAGCCAGGGAAGGAGATTTGACCCTGTCTGGGCTGAAGAGCCTGCCTTTCCATGCCTGCTCCTTCACACCAGGCTGCCAGTCACTGCAGCCTGTTCTTGAACCCTGCCACAATTTTTGTTGCCTCAAACCCCAAAGCCCCACCCACCAGCCCAAAAAGCCTCTGACAGCACATGAAAAATGTCAGGATCTTTGCTCGGTCTGCTTTCTCCACTCTCTGCTGAGGCATCAGTTTATAATCCCCACTCCAGTGGACTGCCCTACAGATTTTATCTCAAGAAGGATAAATAATCTCTTACTTTTGCCATGCAATTGCAGATAGAGCCAGGGTGTACAGTCATGGGGAAATCAGCTATAAATCACTGCATGGGAGACTAATCACTGGGCCCCTGATCTGATCTAGAGGAGGAGATGGAAAAAGCAGCCTTTATTCCTGGAACCACAGCGGCCCTTCTTCAGAACCGTGATGGAGCTCTCCCTCTACCCCAAAAGCTGCAGCTGGTTTGTGCCCATGCAAAAGTGATCAGGGCAGGTCCCATTCAAATTGGCAGGATGCAAAGTGCCCCAAGCCATTTTCTGCTGCAGGTTTGATTTTCTCTCTGTCTCTCAGGCAGACTTGCCCCTCAATATCACCAGGACCCAGAGACCAGCCCTGTTATTGGTCCCAGTAGCTGCAGAGCCAGTCTGGCTGTCCCCTGGGCAGAGCATCTTCCACCACGTGGTCCAATGTGAGTGGTGGCCAGCTTGATGCAGGGTCATTGCTGAACATTTCTACAGCCTTGGCATACAAGGACGAGCCACATCAGTCAGCTGCTTCCTGACACAAGAATATGCATGAGCTCTCCTTGAC